AATAAGGAGCAGGATGCGCTAAGAAAATACCTGAACTGATGGAAAGTGAAATATGCAGAACCAGGAGAACACTGTACACAGTAATAGCAATATTGTATGATGATCAACTGTGTGAATGACTCAGTTATTCTCAGCAATACAATGATCCAAGATAATTCTGAAGAACTTATGGTGAAAAATGCTATCCATCTTCAGAGAAAGAACTGATAAGAGTCTCATTTCAGATTGCAACATACTTTGCTTTTTTAGGCAGTTGGGGTTAAGTGACTTTCCCAGGGTCACACAGCTAGTAAGCGTTAAGTGTTTGGTCTGAGGCCGGATTTAAACAAAGGTCCTCCTGACTCCAGGCCTGGTGCTCTATCCACTGCATCACCTAGCTGCCCCTCGGAACATGATACTCTGAAGAGCAAAGGAGCTGGGCTTGCAACCAAGAATAACTTATGCAAAAAATTTGAGTGTAATCTTGCAGGGGAAAAATTGATATTTAATGTATTAAAGGAGTTTTAAATATGCAGGAGCAAAAGACCAGAACTGAATGGAAAATTTGACCTATTAAGAATCAAGAGCAACACAAGAAGGTAAACATGAATAACCAATTATAAAGGATTTAATAAGGTCAAACTGTTTACTTCTTACATGGGAAAATGTTATCTTTAATTCTTAAGAATGTTATTATTACTAGGGTAGTTTGAAAAAGCATACAAAGATAGAAGGCTTGAGGGGTTGCATTGAATATGATGGGACAACCCTAAAAAATAAAACTGGGTAGGGAGAGGTAAAATAGAGAAATTATAGTATACAAACTGAGGGGTGAATGGAAGAACTGTTCCAGTGCAGGGAAGGAGAGGGTGGAGGGCTAGTAGTGCTAGAATTTTATTCTCTTTAGAACTGGGTTAAAGAAGGAATAACATACATCTAGAAGGGTATAAAAGTCTTCTTAACAGAAAGATAGAAAGGGCGAGGGGATAGGATAAGGGAGGGACTCTTAGAAGAGTGTACAGATTAAGAAAAAGGAGGGTAAGGAGAGAGGATAAGGGAGTGATTCTTAGAAGGGTATGTGGATTAGGGGGGCAGTAAGGAAAAAAACTGATGGAGCGAAATATACATCTAGTGATTATAACTTTTAAATGTGAATGGATGGACTCACCCACAAAATGGAGCAGAATGGATTAAAACCAGAATCTGAAAATATGCTGTTTACAAGAAACACATTTAATAATAAAAGATACACATTGAATGAAAATAAAGGACTAGAGCAAAATTTATTATGCTTCAGTTGTTGCAAAAAAAGCAAAGATAGCAATCAGACAAAGTTAAAGTTAAAATAGATTTAATTAAAAGAGTCAAAGGGGC